CAACGATTGACCACCACCTGGTTTCTCCTTCTCAAGTTATCCTGGGTTAAGATCCTTCCCAAAACAAAGGTCCACACAAAGAAAGCCACCTTGAGAGGAGCCTTAGAGCGCCAAACAGACTTCCAAGGAAAGCGAACTCTAGGATCAACCGAGAGACACCTGAAAAAGGACCTCACCTCAAAACTCTCTTGAGAGTTGGCAGCCCAAGTCCAACTATCCGAATCCTCAACTGCAATCCTTTGGCGATACAACAACTCCAAGAAACGAATGGCCTCCTCAATTTCCTAGTCCTGAAACAATCACCTGAATCGAACATCCCAAACCAGTCTCCCACTATCAAGATGATAACAGTTGACCATCATGGCCTGCCTATTCGAAGTAATCCTGAAAAGCTGAGGAAAAGTGAGAGCGGGAGGAACATTTCTACACTAAACATCCTCCCAAAAAACTAATTGTCCTCCCATCCCTGAGATGAAACCGAATATGTTTGGCAAAGTCATCCTACCCCTTCCGAATAAAATTCCAAACTCCCACCCCCCGTGGACCCCTCACTTCCAGAGAACTCCACCCTCCTCTCATCTCCCCGAATCGACTAGCCACGACCCTCCTCCAAAGCCAGTGTCTCTCCACACCAAACTTCCACAACCATTTCCCTAGGAGGGCCTTATTAAAAGGCACCAGCCTTATTAAAAGGCACCAGTCTTCGGAGACCCAAACCACCATTTCGAATCGGCCTGCAAACCTGCTCCCATCGCACCAGATGAAACTTGAACTCTTCTCCTCTACCCCTCCATAGAAAATTTCGCTACAACCTCTCAATCCTCTCTGCAACTGAAGAGGGAATTTGAAAAAGAGAGAGAAAATAAGTGGGAAGGCATGAGAGAGTGCTCTTAATCAGAGTGACCTTGCCTCCCTTAGAGAGATACTGCTTCTTCCAGCCCGCCAACCTCCTCTCAAACCTATTCACCGCATCCGCATCACAAAGAACTAAAGTGTCATCTGCAAACATTAAATGTGAGATCTCCAACTGGGAATCAGCATCCCTGCCCACCCGAAAGCCTCTCAAAAAATCCAACTCAATAGACCTTCTCATCAATCTACTAAGGGCCTCCATCACCAACAAAAACAAGAAGGGGGAGAGTGGATCCCCGTCTCAAGCCCCTCGAGTTAGTGAAGAAACCCGTAGGAGCTCCATTCACAAGAATCGAAAAGTGAGCATTGGAAATACAAAAGTGGATCCATCTCTTCCACCTATCACCGAACCCCATCCTCTCCAACATGTAAAGAAGGAAGTTCCAACTCACATGGTCATACGCCTTCTCAATGTCCAACTTACATAGAACTCCCGGGACCCCACAACGCAACCTGGAATCCACACACTCACTGGCAATAAGGACTGAATCCAAAATCTGACGGCCTCCCACAAACGCATTTTGAGAGTCCGAAATGATGCCATCCAAAACTTTCCTCAACCTTAAAGCAAGAACCTTGGTAGTCAACTTGTATATATATATTTTAAAATACTATATGCTGTATTTACGAGTATAAGACTTGTAGAAACTAGAAAGGCATCTTCACATTATATTCTAATTCTTTTCTTTTGTACATTGTAAACAACTCATTTTCTAAATCCAGTTAACATTATTTTGATTTTTTTTTTTTCATATTCGTTTGCATTTTTGGTCATGATAGTGTTAAATAAATTTAATATTTTATTGTCATCAACTTAAGATTCATTATTTAATTTACTATCCATATATGTTTATAAATTTTTAAAAAAATTCATTAAAATACTACAAAAATCCAAATTTATTGGATTTTGGAATCAAAACTTGTGTATCGGTATATTTGGAGGATTTGGGAAGCCGACAAACATATCGGTCTTCACCACCAACTCTCTACAACCATCAATTACTTGTAATTTTAAGGAAGGGGTGTCCTCACAAGTTCAACAAGATTACCATTCAACAAGTAATTACCTTACCTCACCTCAATATGCAAATGTGTAATTATATAATGTCACATAATAATTATAAAACCCCATACCCAATGAACCTGTGCAATCTTAAACCTCTTTCAACTTCATGTTCTCGTCATTAAATTATAAGTTAATCCTCATGTTTTAACAATAAACTTTGTTTCTTAACCATTGTTTAAGATATTTCTCTCATATATATATATATATATATATTATATTTAAATAATAAATAAGATTGTAATAGAAGGCGTAAGATATTTCTCTTAATGCATTGTGCAAGAGAATGCATCCAAACTCAGGTAAGGATTACATCCAACCACATAGGTAAGCAACATATTCAACCAACCAAGAGGAAAACGAATCCAATAGAGGTAAGGAACATATCCATCCCCTCAAATATATTATGTAAGGAATGCTACGGAACATATCCAACCTTCAAGTGAGATTTAATTATTTATTATATATTATTACTGGTTCTTTTCCTCCTCCTGTATTCTTATTACACTCTTAATTAGTAGTTATATTATAGATTTCCATTATCAATTTAGATTTCTCCCTCCGTCCCATAATAGATGGGTACTTTGGGAACTGTGAGTACCCATCTATTATGGGGCAGAGGGGAGTATTAAAGAAGGTCTCTTATGCTCTATATACTTTAAGCAAATGATTTTTATGCTCTTAAGAAATCCTTACTCATCCAAAAAATTATTTAAAATTTTTTTTTTTTATAAGTACTCATCCAAAAAATTCTTAAGTATAACAACTAATTAGTGCCATATTTAGAAAGACAAGTGTTATTAAATTTGACCTATCTGGACTCTTTGACTTTGTAAAGTTTAGTAATTTAAAATCTGATTACGACTCTTATATGTATAATTTGACCTAATCTGACTACATTTAACCGCTCAACTAAGCACCCAAATTTGGACCATCTGTGCTGTAAGCTCAATTTAGATGCATTTTTCTTTAAATTTCCTCCGTATATTTAATTGAACAAAAGATCTCTGAATAGCGTGAACTTCAGATGCTTAACTTATGTTGCATGGGTGATCTACTTGTATAAATCTTGTAGCATAAAATTTATGCCTCAATTTCAATAACAAAGATACTCCTAATCTAATGAAATTTTATATGAATACTATACCTTATATAGTGAAACAACATATCTAAAAGGAAAAATTGCACTGTCCTCCCCTGAGGTTCAATCAAATTACACGAACGTCCCTCCTAGTTTGGCAAATTACATTGTCCTCCCTCAAAGTTTGTATGTGATTAACACCGATCTCCCCTCCGTTAATGGTTAACACGGTCAACGACAGAAGGTGCTGACATAAGCAAACTTTCATGTGAAGACAAAAACTACCATATCATGTGAAGACAAAAACAACCTTACTTAAATGAAATTACCTTAATATCCTTAAATCCTCTTACGATTCTTTTTCATTTGAAATTGATGGGTGTGATAGATACATACATGTGATATATATACATTTTGCCTTATAAGGGAGAGAGAGAAGGGGTAAGGTTTTCTCTCTAGACAACTTCCCTTCCACTCAGAATCTCTATTCGCATCCCTGTGATCATTCAATTGGAAGGACCTCAAACAAAGCCGAAGCTCTTTTAGATAAAAGTATCTTTCTAGGTTCTACCTGATTCACAGGAGAACTCTTTTACAAATGTAACATGTGATTTTCAGAGAATCACTACTCATTTGATCTTAAAGTTCACTAATTGAATCCGTATTCCAATTCGAATTATCGTGAAACTGGTAAAAATAAACACAACTCCCCCCCCCCCCCCCAAAAAAAAAAAAAAAACCAATTACAAAATAAAGACCCACATAATCCAAACATTTGGACTACCAAGATATGTTATATATATATAAAGACAGAGAGACAGGGCGGATGGTTGATTAGTTTGTACTTGTACTTGTTGAAAGAGGGCAAGCAGAGGAGTGAGGCAGCCATTATAGGAGCTGGAAAGGTCATTTGCTAACCATGAGAAATTTGATGTACGGAGACCCAAAAATGAAATATTTCAACACAATCAAAGATGAAGTGTAAGGGAGAGCTTAAGATGTGATAAAAAAAGATCTGCTCACTCTCTGCTGTAGAACAAGAAGGGTTCGTGCCTGTTCGATCTTGATCGAGTTGGAGCAAAAGAGCTATTAGCTTTGACGGGTGGTGGAAATGGTGGTTAGGTTTAGCATTTTGAAGATTTGAGTAGCATATATTCATTTATATTTATGTACATGTTCGCATATATTACTCTTTGTGTGTGTAATGTGTCGATTGTGGAGTCATTTGGATGCTAGAGATGGTAAAAAGATAATAGAGAAGATGGTATACCCAATATTTATGGCCTTTTCTAATGGACTTTGTAGTCTTTTTACATTTCATTGACTTGCCAACTAAAATAATGCTAAAAACAAAGGGCATAATCATAAAATGGCATGACTGTTAACCGCGCATTACGGATGTCACTGACCTGGGAGGCCAGTCTGTGTCAAACAAGTAGGGAGGTGCGTGTAATTTGACTGAACCTCAGGAGCGGTAAGTGTAATTTTCCCCATCTAAAACTGTGTTCAAAGGTGCTGATTTTTTGGCAGTAATTTTACCTGGCAAATCAGGTTTCGGCCATGGTTCTGTAAACTAATTTCCTTGTTCTAAGATTGCATGATTATGCCTACAAATCCAATTTTTAGGTTGGATAAAGGAACTTGACCCAACTTTATGATTGATTACAACTAAGGGTTGTCGAAGCTCTTTAATGCATGTGAAGAAGAGACTTTACCTAATCTTTAGCCTCGTCAAATTTCCTAGTTTGGTTTGAAAATTCCATTATAATTGACTGTGTTCGGAAAAATGTATGGAGATTCATTAATTTGACCAAAGAATGCCTTGCTTAAAGCATTATCTTATTGTGTAATTTGCCTAAGGTGTATCAGTATACAATTGAGTATATGTATAGTTCAGACTCTAAAGATGTTGGTATTTACTTGATTCACTTTTGCTTTGTGCAGTTAGACGGCTCATCTGCAGATGCTTATCGTGCTGAGTGGCACAATGGAAGACTCAAGTTTGTTATTGGTACTTGGAGTTCTTAATTATTAATTACAAAATTGGTAATGCACTTAGAGTGCTATTATATGTGAAAGGCTTTGCTATAATGATTTGATAATGTTAGAAACCGATAAAAACTTGATTGTGTGCAGTTACAAGATGCTTCTGTGATTCATCTTATGATAATTTATGTGCAGTTCTAACTTTTAAGTCTCTTATGTTACTGAATTAATTTGATAGATTTCTGTATTAATGTTCTTGGAAGTCGGATTATGGTCTTCTTTTTCAGGTTTGTTATGATTATTTGCTTAGGATTGTTTCAATATTCAACACAATCTATTTTCCACTTGGCCAACAACTCTGAAAGTAACTGGTTTACATAGAGAAACTAAAGACTTTGATAGGAGGTGTATTGCATAAAGAGAGATTCTTTAATGGATGTTATCATGTTCAAATTGAACCCCTTCATAGTAGAAACTTCAACACTTCTCCAACTCCCTTCATCTTAACCCTTCAGTCTTCAGTTCTCAATGAACAACATGACCTCGAGTCTTGACCCATGGTTATGCGTTTTGGTGGATTTGATATGTCGTAAACTCTTTTTACCACACCTCTTTGTAGAAACATTGTTTTATATATATATATATATATATATATATATATATATATATATGTATATATATTGACAAAACCATTGTTTAATTTGACAGGTACTCATATTTATTTATTTATTTATTATTTTTTTTTTCTGGTAAAAGAACAACTTTACTAATGTTATATTGGCTTTCATTACACTTAACATATATTGCTGTAAACTAAAGTTATAGGGAACCTAGGTTAAAAATGGCATTTAGTTTCTTTTTTGGGGGTGTTAATTAATGACTTTTATTAACACTTGCAGATATTGCTGTAAAATTCAAATTGTTATACGGGTTGTAGGTAAAAATTGCCATGGTTTTAGTTTCTTTTCTGGGGATGTGAATTAAAGATTTTCTTGCTTGTAATTGTGAAAACCACTTGTAGTTAACTGTTAGTTTGCTTTTTACGCGTAGTTTTTATATTCATTGAAGGGATAAAGTCCTTTTTGTTTTTTGGGTTACACCATACCATATGCAGAGTGTGGCTGATCTATTCTATGTAATTCTGAGTTTTGACAGATTATGAAAGGCTTCGAGATAGTGTACTGTTTGCTCTTTTTTGGCTACCCTATCGGGCTCGTGGGCAGGCCAGTCTCTTTGGTTCTCCTGGTTCTCTAGAACAGCAGCCTAAGGGCCAGTTCGGAATGCGATGTGTTTTAGGCTTTATGTTTTTGGTCAATATAAAAACAATAGTTTTGTTGTAGGAGTATTTTGAATAGAAATTGAAACTATGTTTGGTAACGAAATTTTGTTTAGTTCCTCCGCTACAGTATCAAAACACGCAATATTACCAATTTGGTGACATGGGTTTTGGCAAAAAAATCTAAATATTGTTTGATCTATTCCAAATCAATATCAAGCGTTCCAAATATGATATGAGCTCAAATTTAAAGATTAATAATGTCAGAAAAATAATATCATAACACATTCCAAACAAGAAGTTTTCATTTGATGGGTCTCCTTTGGTTCCAGAGAGAAATTGACTAAAACATGTCGACAGCTATTTGAGGAGACAAGAAACTTGGAAGCGATGATACTCTTCCGTGTTATGTGCAAATACGAATAATTTGGGTTAAACAGAGCCCAATTCATTCATTTTGATTGGCCGATGCATTCATTTTGGAAGTTGCTATCAATCATGATCTCAGAGGCGAATGACCGATCAATGTGTTGAACTTGAACTACCAGATATTTATCCGATGATGTCTCCATTAAAAAGTAAAATATATTTTACCATCGGCTATTTTTACACGTTCTCCAAAGTGTTGCATGATCGCAAGAGTTGAGAGAGAAGGAGGGTCGATCATTTGCGTAAAGAAATAGTAAATGAAAGCTATATAGAAGTTACCGAAAAATCAACCGCTACCTGGTTTAAACTAAAAATATGATATTAGAAGTTGGATTTAGATTGTAAGAAGAGATTGCTATGTTGTGCTTATAATTTTAATGAAAAGTATTATTATTCGATTAAATTGCTGAAAAGGGAGTACAGTAGCAAAGTACATCTTCAATGGGTTATTACTTGACCCCACTTATGTCGAAGGGTGTGGCTTCCACTTGTTCCTCTCCGGGGTTGAAATTGAAAGGCTGGAATGATCCCAATTCTTGAAATCGACCGCACAAGCCCAGATGGACCATCAATAACCAAACCAAAGTAATGAGCTCTCCACCTTTATTCAGTTGTTGGACATGAGTATATGCTCCGCAGCGACTTGCAGCATAACACACTAATTCTACCCAAACACTGCTTATTGTTTCCCATTTATCTTTCTCGCCCAACTTTTTCAGCGCTTTGGACAACCGGCAGGCATCAAACAGCACGGATTTCACGTAAATATATTCCTCGAAATTAAATTTGGTATCAATAGACAGGATAGTGTTGCAGGCTCTCATCTGTTCGTCCTCTTCTGATTTCTCTCTGCAGAAAAAATTATAAACAGCAAAGATACTCGGACGTTCCTGTTGCACTTGTGATTTCTTTGACAACCCAATTTTCTAAGATTTTAATTCATTTCATTATATTTTTGGTTACCATAATTAATTATCTAATTGTGGTTGCAGATTTTACCCACTTGTGATATTTAATGGGATAATTTAGTTTTGTTATATATATATATATATATATATGATATCAAATGGAGCTGAGAAGCTTGCTACTAAGTGCCAGCCGTGGGAATTGAGTGAAAAAGAATAAGAGAGATTGGTAATGTGTTGCCGCGGGACCCACAAAAAAAATATTAATGGGATTTGGTTTAGTTAAATTTTATAAATACATATGATATATATATCTCTCTTGTCTGATCATGAGGAGATGGCAGCCAACATAGTGGGGAGCAAATGAAATATTTTTATATGATAGTGGGACCCACTTGTACCAAAGTCATTACAAATGACTTAATTCACATATCAGACTCTCATTTTCTCTCTTCTCAATTACGTTCTCTCGCTCTCTCCACTCAGTTCCCTTTTTCTTTTCTTTTACCATCATTTACAAGCTTGGTTTCTTCTCATCAATTGGAATACTTGGAAGCCGTTTGCGGCTCTTCGAAGAGCACGACGAGGTCTACGCTGCTGTATCATTAATTTTAGCTTTTGGTCTCTCTTTAGCCTTCGAATTTAGAGATCCATTTTAAGGATTTTGTGCAATCTTGAGGTAGGGGCCCTTAACTCATGATGTTCTTGCTTTTTTGTGAATTATACCTCCTAAATTGTTGAAAAGCATGTTTATTTTTGAATTAATTGTACTAAAGATGATGTAAGTGTTATATGTGAGGTTATGATTAAATGTGTTACTTGAGTTGTATGAGAACATGTTTATTTGACTAATTTCCTTGTTTGATAAATTGATTTACCATGCTTATATTGTTGTAGAACTTGCTAGAATGATATGGGATGGCATGTGTAATTTCCCTAGAGTACTTGTAATGTATGTACAATTGTATAATGTGAAAGCCTTCACTTCCATGGCATTAAGAACATGATGTACATGCATACTATGAAACATGATTGGGAAGATTGTTTTTGAAATGAAAATACGGAGTTTTGGGGAAACGTATTTTGATGAAAGTGTTTTTGGAAAACCCGGTCGCCGCGGGGGTACCAAAGGGCCGGAGTGTTAATATAGCCTAGAGGGGACTAGGGAGTCGCCCTAGCGTGGTTGAGCTAGCTGGGCCCCATAATGACGCCGCGGGGGTACCAAGGGTCAGGGACACTAGCCAATCCTCCTCTCGTGTCGCTGCGAGGTCACTAAAGGGCGGGTTATATTAACAGTTTGAAAGTGATGGATTTTAAATGTGAAAACGGGGAGCGACATCGGCATGCATTCGCATTTCATGGCATTGCATTGTTTGTACTTGAGTTTGGTTGGAATGTTGTATTATCCCGATATTGTATGATCCCCATTCCCATTGACCTATTCTATGTTTGGATTCACGGGGACACAAGATGCGTGTCTTAAGTGTCACCTACTGAGCATATAGCTCACCCTACATACTTATTATTTTTTTCAGGTCATGGCAAAGAAACGGCGGATGACAATCCTCCGCAAGTTTGAAAGTTGTTAGAAAGTTGTTTGCTATTTTGTATTTTGACCATTCTATGTATATTCATAGTTGTGGAAATGTAACTAAGTTAGTATTCATGGCCTTGTAATTTAAGAACGAACTTATCTTTTGTTTAATGTAAATGAAACTAATGGAATCATGGTATATATTTTCATGTAATTGTATCATGTAACGTTGTAAGACATGGACTTTAGATTTTAACCATGTATTTTGGAACTGTAATTATGATAATTTGGATTAATTGGTGTGTGCATGTTCTACCATAAGAGGAACTATGTTGAGGTATAATGAATGGGATGCTGGAGTATATTTTTTTGTTTTGTGTATTGGGACAGGTTGTTGAAGGACCTGTAACGACCCTGGTTGATGCCAAAATTTAAAAAAAATTCGTCATAACCTCCCCTAAAAATGGACCTTCAACAACCTGTCCCAATACACAAAACACATAAAATCATTTAGCAACCCATTCATCCGTTCATTATACCTTAACATAGTTCCTTTCATGGTGGAACATGCACACACCAATTAATCTAAATTATCATAATTACAGTCCCAAAATACAAGATTAATATTTAAAGTCCCTGTCTTACAACGTTACATGATACAATTGCATGGAAACATATACCATAATTCCACTAGTTTCATTTACATCAAACAAAAGATAAGTTCGTTCTTAAGTTACAAGGCCATGAATACTAACTTAGTTATATTTCCACAACTACGAATATATATAGAACGGTCAAAATACAAAATAGCAAACAACCTTCTAACAATTTTCAAGCTTGAGGTAGATTGTCGTCCACTAGTTCATTTCCAAGACTTGAAAAAAAATAATATAAATAGTAGGGTGAGCATAAAGCTCAGCAGGTGACACTTAAGACACACATCTTGTGTCCTTGTGAATCCAAACAAAGTATAGGCCAATGGGAAATGGGGATCATACAATATCGGGAAATAATACAGCATAACGATTCAATGTCAAGTATATCCAATGCAATGGTATGAGATGCAATGCATGCTAGTGTCGCTCCCCATTTTCATAATCCAAAACATCATTTCCAAACTGTTAATACAGCCCGTCCTTTGGTAGCCCCGCTGCGACACGAGAGGAGGATTGGCTAGTGTCCCTGACCCTTGGTAACTCCGCGGCGACATTATGGGGCCCAGCTAGCTCAACCACGCTAGGGCGATTCCCTAGTCCCTTCTAGGCTATATTAACCTCCGGCTCGTTGGTAACCCCGCAGCGACCGTGTTTCGCATAAAACCATTTCATCAAAAACACTTCCCTGAAATTCCCCATATTTATTTCAAGAACAATTTCTCCCATTTTATGCAAACCCAATGGTATGTGCATGTATCTATGTTCCATACATTCAATGTCATGGCATTTAAAATTCTACACCATAAAATGAAACATTCAACATGTTCAATATCTCCCAAGTAATTATTAACACATTAAGATATAACAAAATACATTTAAGCATACTTTACACATAAAACAACTCACATTCAAATACATGAATTTCTCTAGACAACATTTAAAATAATCATTGATACAATTAACTTCTAATTAAGCATGCTTGGCATAACAAATGATTATAACTCACAATGAAACAAGAAGGTAGTGGATTAAGGTGTCCCTACCTCAAATTTGCACAAAACCCTTAAAATGGGTCCTTAAATTCGAGCTCCCAAAGAGGACCAAAAGCTGGAATTTCTAGTACTAGCACGTAAAGCTCGTCGTGCTCGTCGTTTTGCCTCAAACGGCACCTAAATCCGCCAAGAATTGAGAGAGAAATCAAGGATTGAAGTTGAAAAAGAAAAAGAAAAGAAAAAAAAAACAGAAGCAGAGAGAGAGAGATATTTAAGCGCCTGAGAGAGAAAGCAAATTGGAATTAAATGGGTCTATAATGACCCTTATATCTTAGGTGGGCCCTACAGTTGAAAAGTCATTATACTAATTATATATATAGATAAGTCAAAAACTTTACAGGACCACTTTTAGGCGGAAATTTTTGTATAAATAGTTTTAGTTTAGGGTCGTTACAATTTCCTTCTTCCAAATATATGCTTGGTCTCGGAACAGGTATGCATGAATCTTATATACCCATCACTTGCCACTGCAGCCATCATTTGTTGCTCTATAACTAGAAGATATAACATGTAATCTGACAGGAGCTTCGAAAAATTACGATACTTGCCAATGTCGTCGTCGTCCCCTGTACTAGCAGCAGCATTGCTTTTAGTGTCACTGTAGCAGAGTTCAGTTGCAATGTGCCACAATAGAAGGCTTCTATCATATTCGACTTCTTCAACAGAAGGAAGTAGATTGTGGTGACCTCTCTCACGAAGAACCCCTTCCCCTCTGCCTGAATAGATCTCCTCGGCATTTGCTCCATGTTTCCATGTCCTAGCTATAATTAGTAGCTCGTTGAAGATGAAGTTTCTTAACTCTCCGGTGAATGATACGCTTTTCACATAGTTGAGCCTATCGAAAACGTTGGTAAGATGGAAAATATCAATGAGTTTTTGCATCCATCTTGAACGTTTATGTATGCAATAATTTATCAAGTTGAATTGCGAGACAGACTCGGACCACCCATGGTGCAAGAGTTGCATATAGCAAGGACGAGGAGGGTTTGCTGCATCCGCAATCCTCCTATTCTTGACAGCTAATAATAAGTTGAGCATTTTTTTAACCCAAGTTCTATTGGACTGTATGCTCATGAGGGTAATAATGGTGAAAAAGAGCATGACGATGGCAATTATATCGAGGACGATGGCACCAAGAAGCAAGAAATAGGTAATCCCAACATCAAACCCATCGAATCCCTGCTTCTCCTCGGAATGAAAGAGGGCAAGGGCTACAACAACTGAACTGAAGCAAACAGATCTGCAAATGTAGCCTGATTTACAATGCACCACACTCACCTTGGTGTAGAGAATTTCATACATGAGATTCAGTTCAAGCTCTATAATTCCGAAAGCATCTCCTGCCATAATTGTTCTGAATAAGTATTCGCCATCGTCCAGCTCGAAGGTTACAATGGAATTAACATCAACTCCTTCAAACTATCAAAAAAGGAACTAGCCTCTGATATCACTTCTAACTCCTCCAGAACACCTTCTGCCCCTGCAGTGCCTTCTCGATTAATCCTGACCACAGGAGCCCTGCCTCTATGGAACTCTTTTACGACCTTGTGGTAGACAGGAGGAACACGTCGCATGGACTCCCTCAAATTACCCGAGCTTGCAAGATACAGAGAACGTGTCCGCTCAGAGTACTTGATAATTCCTGCCACAAACACCAGCATTGTTGGGATCCATAGCTTGTTACTGTGAAATGTCTGAAAGAAGACATTAACAGCAGCTAAAGACTGGACTATGAGCGCAAGCAAATGCCTGAGCTACAGCTCATTATCCTCGAGAGCAAAAGCAGTTATGGTATCCGGGCCACTGAGGTGTAGCAGAAGAAAGGTAACCCAAAATGTCTGAAGATCTCCATTAATGACTGCACCAGAATTGTTGTAATTGTTGTGAGAGATGAGCCCAACAGCAAAGTTTGCAGCCCAGTCTGCAAGCAAGTATGCCGACCAGAGGGGCATGATTATCCAACTGCTTGACATTCGCTTTCTCAAGGGGGCGACAAAAGTTAAGAATGTTTGCAGTGAAAGGCTTAAGATAATGAAGCCTCGGAGATCCCATGTATCCCAAAGCTGCTTCCAATGGGATTTCATATCCTCTGGCCTTTAGGATTCTTAGTTATTGAGATGATACAGATCACAATCTCAATTTTATGATTTTGATCATAGCCTTCAAAGAAGATACATCGAAAAGTCAATTCATGGCTTACTATTTTATATCACTATTGAATCATACAATATTCATTCAACATTGACTAATTAAATTATTGAGTCCATGATAATGGAATTTTCATTTCTAAACTTTCTTGATAGTTCTTGCAGCCACGTACCTCGAGTTCGTGACGCATTTTTATGGTGATGGTGGCCGCCAACTAGTAAACACTAAATGGTAAGATGATGGGCATTAGAGATGTTCATTTGATCTGATCCAATCCAATTCGTACAGTTCGGATTAGTTTTTCAGTCTATCAGATTAGCGGCAGATTCATAAATAAGTAATTCATAAGGGTCGGATTTGAATTTCATAAAAACCAATCTGATTAAGTAAATCAGTAGGTTGCCATGTCTCTAACTTGGCTGAATACAGTGGAATTGTTGCATTATCTACTTGTTTTGTGTGGGATCTTAGTTTATCAAAAATAATTATTTTCAGGTCTCTATTCAAAGATCGGATGAATTGCATTTGTGATTAAAAAACATATTCATGAGAAATTGATTTGGGTTTAAAATTTTATGATAACTTATAGGTATAATAATACTATTAAATAAGTTTCGATTAGAGAGAGAGAGAGACAAGTTTTTCAAATCCAAAATTGCATATATTAATCTTTTAAACTAAACAATTTAGGGTAGGCACACCTTACCATGAGAAACAGGAATTTAATAATCAAAACCTAATAGACACTTATTATATATCAAGTGCAAGTTAGTATATAGTATATAAATAGAAGAAATATCAGCCCCATAAAGGGAGGTGACTTTTCCATGTATCCATCGTAACAATAATCCATTCAAGCTATGAATGTGGAGTGCTTTACGCATCACTGACAGTTGGATAGTCCTATGTTTCGATCGGTCCCACAATGATTAAGGTGGGTTGGATCTTTGGGCAGGTTATCTAAGGCCATTTGCACCAATCTCTTCAAATTTTAACTCTCTAAAAATGCCACATCAACTTTTTCAAGAGCCATATCGACAGCTTTCGCTCACAAAAAACATGCACTCTATTATGCTATCTGAATTTTCTATATTTCTAATGGTTATAACGGCTATATTCCGTGATCAAGAAGGAAGCCACAATCAGCTAATGAAAGATTACTTCAACAAGAACTACACATATCCACCGGAGTACTTTCACAGGCGATTCAGGATGCGACGAGAACTTTTTTTTCGTATTCTTAATGATGTCAAAGCTTATGATGACTGGTGCGACCGAGCATGTGTACAAAATAATGCACAACACTTTATGTTTAGAAATAATGTCAAGTGGGTACCATATTTTAAAATTTATAAAATCACTAAACACTTATAGTATGGAGTATGAAGTGAGCAGGGATCGTCCCAAGAGATCTAAACAATTATAGGTTTTTCATAATTGAATTCTACTTTAGTGCTTATGTGATTGCTAAAAAGGTTTGGTTTTGTGATTAGACTAATTTTAAGCTAAATGATTGTAATAAAATAATGGAGTTTAAAAGATTGGAAAGAGACTTAGGGTATAGAATTCACCACTAAGCACATTCCCTAACTCACTCACTTTCAACTAATTGGGGAAATAATTAAGTATAATTCTAATGTAGCTAATACTTGCAAAGAAAAGTATGAAGCATCAATTTCAAGCCTGAATTGCCTACCTAATAACAAATAAACTAAGTGTAATGCAATTCACCAATCCAAAGAATGATCCATCAATTCAAGTTACAATTCTAGCCTACATTAATCTAGAAGATAATGCAATTGTGACAAAAAATATGGAATTCAAACATAAGTATGGATGGTCTACTTACCTAATAATTGAATTGCAATTAAATTAATTAAACTTAAATTAAACTAATTAAACATGAATTTAAAACTAATTAGACAATAAATTAACCTAAACATGTAGGGCCATCCATCAAATAGAAGTAATTTTCCATCAATTTAAACACAATTACATCTAATTAATACCATGCATAGCCATCACAAGAATTAATTAACAAATAATTCAAGTGTAGAACTTGATTAACAATCAAACACACATAAGACAACATGATATTGACATAGATAATCAAATGGAAGAATTTATTCATATACATTCAAGGCTATACATTAATTACACAAATTCATCCCCAAAAAGTGAAAAGAGAGAGATTAGGTTACATGCTTAGGGTTTATCGAACCCTAAGTAGAAGAATCAGCCACTCATGATTGACGGATTCGAAGACGGAACAATCACCATCATCTGCTTCATCATCTCTGAGCTTCCTCTTCCAAACCCTAGCTCGTTCTTCGTTTCTCCTCTTTCGCGTGTTTTTCTAGAGAGAATATATCGATACAGAAAAAATACTACTTAATTAATAAATTAAAAACTTACTAAAATAAAATAATAACTAACCCTAAACTAATGGCTCACTGGGCTTTAAGTAACAAACCCTATCAAAGCTCATAAGTTACAAAAATAAGCCCAAAATAAGAAAATCCCGTAATGCTGCCAGGTGCTGGGGGATCGATCCTACAGCCTTAGGGATTAATCGCCCAAGGGCATTTTTAATTCTGTAATAGTCGGGGATCGATCCCCCAGAGTTGGAAATTTCTTTTAAGCCTTATTTAGCTCCATTTTGGCCCCGGGCCAATTGGTTTGCTTCTTCATCTTTGGGAACTTCGTCAAAGGCTCGAGATTGACCGCTTTTGAAGAATAAACACACTATACGAGCAATGGGCTGCGACCTCTTTTTGCCATTTTCTGAACTTTTTTTGAATGTTTTTACTTGACTCCAAAAAGGCTTTAATGAACCAAAATTAGTTCGTTTGAACCTTATTGACCTGAAATTGACAAAAAACATAAATTAGAACTAAAATATGAAAATATAAAAAAAAATACAAGAATTAAAATACCCTAATTTAGGTGCTGAAATGTGCAACATTTAAGCACTTATCACACCCCCAAATTTAGATATTGCTAGTCCATAGTAATGAACTACAGTATGAAAATGAAACAAACATATATACAATTATGAACTAATAAAGCAAATAAAGATAACACCACTTTCGTAGGGATCATGGTTGCATTTAGCATATGCAACAAGCCTTTTAAACCCCTAGGTTATCCCTAGTGGACGAGTGAAGTCTAGTGAGGGTTTCTAGAAATGGTACTCACAAACATCAACAGCTCTTTCTTACTTGATAAGCAATGACATATATCAAACAAGTGTTGAAAGTAGACTACTTCAAGTATGTAAATTTCTGCCATTTCTAAGCTATTCTCAACATTTCAACATCATGTAAGCAAAAATGGTCCTCCACACATCAAGCAAGTTAATCATGCAAATTGAATCAATTCTATCATTCTTTTTGAGTGAACCGGTATCAAAATGTGTTGCTAACCTAGCAAATCAAAGTAATGGCGTAGCCTTACCTTCAAACTAGCATATAGATATAGTACCAGACATCAAGACATTGAATGAACCTTGTTATTCAATCAAACATTCTTTTTTTATTGATTTCATTTTTTTTTTTTTTTTTTAAATGTATGACTATGTGCAATGTTCAAGTTCTTTAAGCTCTCTAATCACCCCATGTAACAAGCGTTGAGCCAACGACTCCCAAACCAGATGGTCTTAGGGTGTTAAGTGTAAAGACACTCCTAAGGGTGTAATGACTCAAAATGGCTAGGCTACGAACTCAGACTAATCATACATCTTACATTCTTTCCTTGTCTTCATTTTTAATCAGTTGACATGTTGAAAGAATGCAGTTTTTTTTTTTTTTTTTTTTTTTTTTCTTCTTTCCTCACCTTTGGTGAGTGCTTTTATTTCTTTTCTTTGCAAGGTCATTTTATCAAGAATGAAAACTTTCAAAGCATACTAGCTCAATTGGGATAAACCAAGACAATAATCAACTAAGCATGTACCCCACAAATTGAATGCTAGTGTGTGCAAGTGCATGTGTAGAATTCTAGAATCAACTCTCAAAGCATTTTCATCCAACAAGATGATGTGTACCACAAGAGCAAATATGATATCAAAAATTAAAAATTTACCCCTAAATGACATCCTAGAGCATACAAGAAGTATTAGACTCTAACAACTTGCTTTTCAAAGGTACTATGCTTCAAAAGTTCGAAATCATTGCTAAACACATCTCAAATCTCATCATGCA